TTTTCAACAGGATAGGGTGATGATAGACAATAACATGTAACGCAGGATTTCTCAACTGCTTGAGTTTTTCCCTTAAGAAGTATACATGTAATTATTATTATTTTGGGGACTTATGAGGAAAAAACATGTTGTTCTCCAAGGTAGTGAATCTCTGCTTTGAGATATTAATAAATTAACAAACATTTATTAATCACTTATTATGTAGAAGGCACTGCACTAGATGCTGAGGATATAATCAATGAATGAAAAATCATTTATTACGCATTTACTATATGTCAAGCACAAATGCAAAGCAAATATAGTCCTTGCTCTCAGGAACTTACACTCTAATAGTGAAAAAAAACAAAGTAATAACGGCCAATCTGGAAATTACAGGGATGACGAATGGGGACGTAACGAATTACAGTTACAAAAATGAGATAATCCCTTGCCTTCAAGAAACAGGAGGGGATACAGTTTACTCACAGATAAGTAAATATAGATAAAGAGAAGAATTCTGTTAAAATCTGGTCCCAAACTATTTTTCTAGCCCAATCTCTAGCTCTCATACTACCTATATTCGCTACTCCAGTTAAACTAGTTCTGTTATCACCACCTGAACAGATCCCATACTTTCTTGCCTGCTCATCTTTGCTCATTCCATTTCCTCAGCTATAATTCTCTCCCCTGCCATCTTCTTAACCTGCTTTTTTTTCACCTGTGGAAATCCTACTCATCCTGCAAAACCCAACTCAAATGTAATTTCCTTCATAAAGCCTATCCAGATTCCCTTAGGAAGAAGTGTGCTTTCTCCTTTGAATTCCACAGCATGTCTCCACCTGGATGGCTAGGTGGTGAGAAGACTTATAGCCACAAGGGGTACCCTTCAAACTTTGCCTTCCTAATTAGCCCAGGCTGCTTAAAGGATCACAGAGCTTAGATGAGATGGGAATCATCAACTCCATTCACTCTGATAAGATGGAGAATCACCAGGCCATATGAGCTGCCTTATTATTTCCTTCTACAGTCCTCTAGGCACTGCAATCACTCTATGCCCTGCAATCTCCTGGCACCGTCATTTGATCTACCAATGCAACCTAAGGATCTTGTTATCTGACCCACAACTGCACCCAGAGGTATTCCAGGCCCTTCCACCTGCCCCAGAGATGAACTTTTATGTGTTATTTCCCCAGTAAGAGTGTGAACTCCTTGAGAACACAAGTTTTCTCTTTGTAGCCTCAGCTAAACTTATCACATAGTATATGCTTAAAAAATGCTTTTTCATGTATTTATTCATTCATTTACTTTGGTTTTACTTATCTCATAGTATTTATTTACTACATACTGTCATGTACTAAGGTATTAGTTGCTCTTATCTCCCATGTTCCATTGTAAACTATTAGAAGACAGGGCTCATCTTTTTCTTCCATACCACGCAGTGCCAAGCACAACGCCTGACACTTAGCAGAGTCTTAATAAATGTTCAGTGATTGGCTGTTACATAACTGGTAGTAGATACTGAGTCAATAAATAAATATTTTTGGTATAAGTGAAACAAAATCAACCAATTAATTCAATGATATTTATTGCATTATGTGCAAGGAAATACCAGTTATATGCTAGAGACCTAATCATTGATGTTTCCCTAGAGTGGGCATTGTTGTTGTTGTTGTTGTTACTGTTGAGTTATGTCTGACTCTTCATGACCCCATTTGGGGTTTTCTTGGCAGAGATACTGGAGTGCTTGGCCATTTCCTTCTCCAGATCATTTTACAGATGAGGAAACTGGAGCAAACAGTGTTAAGTGACTTGCCCAAGGTTATACAACCGATAAGTATCTAAGACTGAAATTGAGCTCAGGTCTTCCTGAATCCAGGCACGGTGCTCTATTCACTATGCCACCTAGCTCCTTAAGCTCTCTGCAGCCTTTGACACTGGTGACCACCCTCTTCTCTCTAGGTTTTCTATACACCATCCTCACACTCCTGGTTCTCCTTCTACTTATATGATCTGTTGCATCTCAATCTTCTCTGAGGTATCCTCATCCAGATCATGTCCTCTAACTGCAGGTTCAACAGGGTCCTCTTCCTTTCTCCCTCTACAACTTCATTTGGTGAGCTCATCAGCTCTCATGGATCTAATTATTATCTCTACGTTGACAAATCTTGAATCTATTTATCCTGCCCTAACTCCTCTGCTGGTCTCCAATCTGAAATCTCCAACTGCCTTTCAGAAATCTAGAGCTAGATGTTCAGCAGACTGAACTCATTCTCCTTCCCCCTAAACTCTCACACACTCCAAACCTTGCCATTACTGTAGAAGACAATACCAATCTCTCAGTCCTTCAGCCTCACAACACAGGTGTCTTCCTTGACTCTTCATTATTGCTCACTCCCCATATCCAATCTGTTCAAAAATCTGAAAATTTTACTTTTGACATTCATCTCTCAAACATGCCCACTTCTGCCTCTGATATTGCCAACCACCCTATAGCAGGCTCTGACCAATTGACGTTTAGACTACTGCAACAACCTGCTAGTGAATTTGCTTGCCTCCAGTCTCTCCCCACTCCAATCCATTCTCTATTCAGCCACCAAAGTGATTTTCCTAAAGCACAAGTCAAATCATGTTGTCCTCCTCAAACTCCAGTGGCTCCCCATAGCTTTCGGGATCAAATAAAAAACCCTCTGCTTGGTATTCAATGCCCTTTATAACCTACCCTCCTACCCCTCAGCTTTCCAGGTTTATTACACCTTACTCCCCACTACATCCAGCAACACTGGCCTATTGGTTATTCCATGAATAAGACAGTCCAGCTCTCAGCTCTAGGCATTCTTCCTGGCTGTCCTCTACGTCTGTAATGTTCTCCCTCCTCATCTCTGCCTGCTGGCTTCTTTCAAGTCCCAATTAAAACCCTGGGAAACTTTTCCCAAAACATCTTAATTCTAGGCCAGGGGTGGGGAAACTTTAGCCCTGAAGCCACCTGTGGCCTTCTAGGTCCAAGTTTCACAGAACAAATCTTTTTATTAAGGAATTTGCTCTGTGAAGTTTGGATTCAAAGGGCAGCACTTGAGGCCCAAGAAGGCCACATGTGGCCTTGAGGCCGCAGCTTCCCCACCCCTGTTCTAGGCTCTTTTAATTATTCCCTATTTTTCTTATACATATCTTGATAGTACACATTGTTTGCTTTTGTCTCCCTCATTAGATTGTGAGCTCCTTGAAAGCAGGGATTGTCTTTTGCCTCTTTTTGGTTTTACCTCCCATGCTGAGATAATATTTGTAAAAGCACTTAGCACAGTTCCTAGTAGGCACTATATAAATGCTTATTCCCTTCCCTTCCCCTTAAGTAAAAGTTTAATAATTTCATTATTTTTAAATTCAGACAGTTAAAGTCAGTTAAAATTCAGACACATAATTCAGTGAAAATGGCTTAAATATTTCCAAATACACTGTTTTTTAATGAAACAAAAGTACCTCATTTTAAAAAGCTTTTGATTTTATAATCTGAATTACGATTTCCCAAAATCTCAGGGTTGGAAGGGACCTGATGTACTTGCACAAGGACTTTCGCTACAACATCCCTGGCCAGTTGTTGAACAGTTAAAGTAAGGCGAAACTCGCAACCTCTCAAGGAAGCCCATTCCATTTCTGTATAGCTCTAAATGTTAGGAATTGCATCCTTATATCAAACCTAAACAGCCTCTTTTCAACTTATGCCTTCTGAGGCTAACTGTGTTTCAGTGGAAAGAACACTGGCTCTTTAGTCAGAGAAGACAGTTTAAATTCTAGCTCTTCCATTTTATATCGCTATGACCTTGAGCAAGTCATTTGAGTTCTCTAGGGCTCAGTTTCCTCAACAGTAAAATGTGCACTAGATCAGGAGTTCTTATTCTTTGTTGTGTTACGGACCCCTTTCGAAGTCTGATGAAACGTACTGACCCCTTTTTGACATAATGTTTTTAAATGTGTAAAATAAAATATATAGGATTACAAAGGAAATCAATCAAAATGGTTATTAAATATTGTAAACAAGTTGATATACCCCAGTTTAAGAACCTCTGTGCTAAATGATCTCTGCGATTTCTTCTAGCTCTAGAGAGCTGTGATCCTAGGATCCCCTCCAGGGTATCATCCATGACTCTTTCAAGCAACCCTCAGATGGCATGAATGAGAGGGCCTTCATCATACTGGCTGTCCTCTGGATATTGTCCTCAACTGTGGCACCCACAAATGAACACAACATTCCCCTAACAATCTCCTGTGCCAGTTCTTTCAGTACCCTTAGATGCTATTCATTTGGGTCATGTGACATCAAGGGCAGCTGCTCTCCATGTACTGTGTGATCCAGGTACACTGGCCTCCTTCCTATTTCTCACACACAACACTCCATCACTGTCTCCCATGCCTGGAATTCTCCTGCTTTCTCATCTCCATCTCCTGGCTTCCTTTAAGTTTCAGCTAAAGTCCTACTTTCTACAAGAAGCCAGCCCTCCTTTATCTCAGTGTCTTCCCTCTGAGACGACCCTCAATTTATCTTATATATACCTTGCTTATACATAGTCGTCAGCCTGTTGTCTCTCTCATTAGATGGTATATTCCTGGAGAGCAGGGACTGTTGTTTGTTTGGGGTTTTTTTGCCTTTCTTTGTATCCCCAGAACACTGCATAGTGCCTAGCCCACAGAAGATGCTTAATAAATGCTTGGCAGCGACTGGCTGACATTGATATTCAGTAGTCATTAGGCAGGTTCTAATCAGTTGCAGTTAATTAATTTTCAAAACATAAAGAAGAGTGAACAATGCAATTTCTATGACATATTCTGAACTATTAGCATAGGGTTATTTAACATGAAGCTGAGTCAGAAGCACTGACTTCTTTCTTCAAAGAGAAAAAATAATGGGCCTTATACCTTAGCATTCAGAAAATTCCAAAAAAGTAATCAAGTTAAACATGATCATATTTTTGATCCCCAAAGCTGAATCAACAAAGTGCCCCATTATGCCCTCTGGGTTTTAATCTTACCTCATAGCTATGTCATATGATTCTGGGTGGATACACGTTTGGTCCAAAGGATTTGGCTTCAGTGTAGCTTTTGGGGCTGTTTTGCTTTTTTTCTTGCCTTGTTTCTCGTCTGTAAACTGAACATCTATTGGAGTTGTCACAGCAATGCTCAGGACTTGATTCCCTGCTGAAGATTCATTTTGCAGACTGCTGTCACAAAGAAAGGGAGAGAGGACAGAAGGTAGGCCAACAGGCAGGGAGAAGATGGGAATGTGGGACAACAGAAGAAGAGGAGAAAAGAAAACAGAGAGAAGGAAAGAGGGAGAGAGGGAAGAAGAGAGGAAGGAAGGAAGAAAGGAAAGGAGGGAAGGAGAGAGTGAGTTTCGGTTATCACAACATCTCTACCACAGATATATACAATCCAATTTTGGCCACTTATTCATTTCATAGAAATGTACCATTTATCACTGACTTAAAACCAAAGTGTATGTTTGTATATATGCATATACACATATATGTATATGTGATATGTGTTTATACAAACATATGGGTACCTAAAACCAAAGTTTATGTTTATGCATGCATGCACACATATGAATGAAACACACTAACATTAGATTGTGAGAAAGAAGGAATAATGTAACTTTCATTCATTCATCCATACACTCACTTATTCAACAAATATTAAGCATATAGTCTATGACCAGTACTATGGTAGGCAGAATTAGAAAATCAGAGCAGTCTGCCTGCCTTAGCCTGCTGGAGAAAGCAAGAAGTTTCCCTGCCAATACTTTGTGACCCAGTGAGTTAAGGGTCAAGGGAAGTAAGTGGCATCTCATAAACTGGTGTTGGCTCCCTGGCAACAACCTTCTCCTCCTTGTTTCCACATAATTTTGAGGATACAAGGTGCTCTTTTCTGATACTGTTTCATTTTTTTCTCTTTTATTATTCTTTTTATCCACCTATCAGGTTCCTAAAAACATGATCTCTAACCAATCACAAAATGATTCTATTAGTGATAAGGGAGAAATTGGGGATTCAAATCCAGACCCTCTGGGGTTTCGTGTGCGTTTCTAGAAAAGGTATCCTGACAGAGGAAATAACCACCAATAAGTCTGGGCAGAGAGACCAGTCAAAGGATAGGCCATAAAGGCAAGGGTAACACCAAACAAGTATAGATGAACAATCTACTTTAAAAGTAGAAGGTCTCAGAGAGTTGTCATAAAGCTCATACCTGGCTACTACAGGATTCAGACAACTCTTAACCCTTCTTCCTTGACTAAGGCAATGCTTTGAAGACTTTCTGGATATTACCTAGCACTAAGAATTGTGAGACATTTATAGCCATTAAACTGCTAACTGGCTTCACAGCGGCCAAAATATCTTCCCCTACCAAATCCTCGCATTATAATGTTTTACTCTCTTGGAGACTGGACCTTGAAACTGTAGAATTCTCTGGCAAAATACGGATTAGCTAATATAGATGAAAAGTTTTTCCTGCGTAAAAATGTTCAGGCAGGTCAACTATTATATTGCATATGAGCTGTTAACTGATGTAGTTATTTTGGAAAATAGAATGGCAAAATACAATTTATTTTGTCTGGGCTTTGTTATTTCATTTCAAAAGCAATATAAGCAGGATATTGTGCAGGATATTGTCTACCAGTGTGAATCTAAGGCAAAACTCCTGCACCTCCCTTTCCTCCTCTGTTTTAAGAAAAGGACATTAAATCACCTTTGATAGATCAGAACATGTTTTCAAATCAATGGAAATGTTAAGTTCGTTTCACTAGCTTCAAAAATAATTATGGTACAGTCAATTCTTTTCCTTCTATAAAATCTGCTGCTGTGATGTTGGTTATGAGTTTGAGTCAATGGGAAAAAATAAGTTAAGTAGCAAAAACTAAGTTTAAAATTGTCAAACTTTCATTTTGAAGGAAAATGATAACTTAGTTAAAATCCTTGTTTATCAATGGTTCTTCAGTAAAGGGCAAACTACCTAGCATCAACCTACGTAAGGAATATTTCACATGACACAGCTTGATAAATTAACTATACTAATTTCAACATTTAAAAAACCTTAGATTCTTAAAAAGGAATAGATTCCAAAGAGTATTGCAGGACGAAGACTACTTTGAAATTTAAAGTAACTACAAGTCTATTGGGGTGATTGTGCCCACTTGGAAGCCCTGAATCATTCTACAAAGGAAAAAAGTATAAAATCCTAAATCTTGGTTTAGAGTAAGAAATGTCCACTAATATCAAAATCTTAGGAAACCATTCACAGGAGATTAGAGTTATTCAGGATTACATTTTAAAGACCCTTTTCAGTTTCAAAACAGATTTAGCAAATCTTTCTAATAATTTATGAGTACTTAGATTTCATGTCTGGCTCCCCAAGCCAGGTATGGTGACAACATAATTTTAAAATATGTACAGGATGAGCATCTGGGCAACACAGAGCAGTATTTACACAAAGTGTGCTTTTCCTAAGGATTCCGAACCCTCATTTCTTTGTAGACCCCCAACTTTCTTCACCTTGGCACCAGGTTTAGTATAGCTGAAGTCAACCAAAACCTTGTATGTCTTTTTCTAATACTTTCAGTTCTTCAGGACAACAAACCAGACTAGAAGAATCACCTGCAGAATGTTCTGATGTAATCTTGATTGAATCTGATAAAACCTGCGCATTGTTGGAAAGATTTGGGACCTAGCCCTTTCACACTCTTTAGTTGCTCCCGATTAATAAAAGGCCCATTTTTCTCTCGCCATTCAATGATATTTTTGGCCCGGCTGGCATTCAGTCCTGCAATATGCCTAAAGAAGAAAACAAATAAGGTATATGGCAGTAACAGTATGTTAAAAAAGGAAGAAAAACTCCAAAAAGGGGTATTACCCAAAAAGACACTGATGTTTTTCATAAGAACAAAAGTAACATCTTAATTTATAAGTCTTGCTTTATAGAGCGTCAAAAAGTAACATCTTAATTTATAAATCTTGTTTTATAGAAGGTCAAAAAGGAGGAGGTCAGCAGGAAAGAGAAGGGAATATAAGGTAGCAATAGCACTAAGAAATTCTAGCAAACTGATAACAATAAAGCTAGGAAAGTCTGTGCCCTTTCACCCTTTCCAGGTAGTTCATCTTCCTTGGAAAATCCACTCAAGTGATGATTTTGCCCATTAACTCATAGGATGAGACAGATAGAAGGCAATACAGACAGAAGTTCTGTGATCTATTTTTTGTCAGCCTGTTCTCATTAGTTTAAAAAGTTCATGAAATACAGTAAGATAGCTGATCATGAATGTCACATATAACAGTACATATCTCCTAGTAGAACACAAGATATCTTGCCTGATTTTAACAAAGCAGAATCCAATTAATTTCATATAATTTTAACTTTATGGGGTCATAGAGTACTAGAAGTTATAGCAGAAAAGCAACATCTTCAATATAGGGAACATTCCCTACAATACTACTTATTGTACAAAATGGCTCAGATTTAGGGGACCTCATGCTATGGAAATGAGTTCAAAGAACAGGCAGCTTTTTTTATGTGTGGAGCAGCAGGAGAGAGCTTGGTTAGGGGGAACATGGGAGAGGAACAAACATGGATTCTGCCCATAAAATATGACTGCACTTTATGGCTACTTTAATCATACGTCATATATGATGGAAAAGAGAAAAGGAAAGATCCTGAGTTAAGGAACAAGACAGAAAAAGAGCTGGGAACATTCTAAAAATTTTTCAAAAGGAAATTTGATCAGATAAAAATTAAAGACAGAGGGAGGAAAGAGGCATAGCCTGAAACTTGGAGTGACTACAAACATTTATTTTCTGGTTAGTACTAGTGTGAACTTGTATGTAAGTAGTCCATTAACATATGGCGGGAAACCTCTTATCTATGTTAACCTGTGCACATTTATTTAACTTCCAGTCAGTGACACTAATGGATTCAATGACTAACATCTGTTCATTGTTTTGAATTTTACATAATGAAAAGTGATAATGTGAGATGTTACTATAGTTTTGACTAAGTCTTCTCTTCTGAAACCTCTTTTCTCTTCCAAAGAGCTGTCAGTAAGTACCTTGCATAGGTGATATGTGTTCTTCTTGATTTCTTGGACCTGGTTGGTAAGTGAACCCACAAATGCCCTCTTGCTCAAGCTGTATTTGAGGCTTGAGGAAAACAAAACCCTTGACTCTCTAATCTATAGCCAGAGAATTCCCATCTCACCTTAACAGAATTTCTGAACAGATGTTGATATCCACTCCCACAAAGCTGACACATTCTTCCACCACGCTATCCAGAGTTGCTTTCAATAAAGTCTGGGACACATCATGCTGAAAAGACAAAAGTCAAAGAATGATAAAAAAATTAAGAGGATCTAGTTACTGAAGTAGCCTATTGCTTTGCCTCTGCTACCCTTGAAGACCCGAGGAATCTACAGTACCCTAATGGCAATTCTCTCCATTTCTTTGAAGTATGACAATGTATGAAGCAAGAGAAAAATCTGACTTCTAGTACTTCACTGAATTCTCAGAAATTGGAGCCTTCCTCTCGGATATGATCATATGCTCTTTTCCTGACTATTTCAGTCCACTGTGATTTTTTAACATGTTCTGTTGAACTTTCATCTCTCTAACTACAGGCTTATAAATATGCCAGTCTCTTCCATTCTTTTAAAAATAAACAAAACACAAACAATATGGCCCTACCACCCCCTTAAGACAGCATCCTGTCTCTTCTCCTTTTAACGATCAAACTGCTAGAGAGACATCGACATTTCCTGCCATCACCTTTCCTCTCAATCTGGCTTCTGACTTCACCACAGTCCAAAGTACTCCATCCAATCTATCCTTGGCTATTTTCATTTCTTTCTGAAATCCCATCAACTCGCATGGATTCAATTATCAATCAGACCTTGACACAACTCCACCAACAATGCATTTATATGTAGCTTTTCCCATAAGCCATTTTTGTTTTCTGTCAGCTTTGTCAATCTGGCGGGTGGTAAGTGGAGCCTCAGGGTCGCTTTAATTTGCATTTTCCTAATTAGTGGTGGTTTGGAGGAATTTTACATGACTACTGGTAGCTTGGATTTCTTACTACAAAAACTGCTTGTTCCTATCTCTTAACTATCAACTGGGAATGGCTCTTACTCTTACAAATCTGAATCAGTGCAAAGTTATCTTTTGTTTTGTTCCCCTATTTATGTCACCCTGAATGTCTAACTCATGTATTGAGTTAGGGATTATCTTGGTAAAAGGTGTGGGATGTTGCTCTCTTCCTAGTTTCTGCCAAAATGTTTTCCCAGAGTTTCTGCTTGAATAATGAATTCCTACCCCAGGAGCTGGAGTCTTGTGACTTATGTTCATTTGCTTCTGTATGTGGTATACCAAATCTATTCCACTAATTAACCATTTTTTTTCAACCAGGATTAAACTATTTTGGTGATTACTGTTTTGTGGTATAGTTTGAGATCTGGTGCTGCTAGGGTCCCTTTTTTCCCCACCTCTTTCAATATTTCCCTCAAGATTCTTGGCCTCATGGGGGCAGCTAGGTGGTGCAATGTATAGAGCACTGGCTCTGGAGTCAGGAGGACCTGAGTTCAAATCCAGCCTCCGACACTTACTAGCTAACTGTGTGACCATGGGCAAGTCACTTAACCCCCACTGCCTCAAAAAAAACCCCCAATATTCTTGGCCTTATGGTCCTTCAGGTGAATTTCATTACTATTTTTTCTCATGCTATAAAGTAATCCTTTCATAGTTTGAATGGTACGTAGTATTGTTTTTTTTTTAATTACACAGGCTCAGCTTACCCATGAGCAATTAATATTTCTCCACTCATTTAGGTCTGCCTTTAGTTCTGTTTTGTAATTGTATTCATAGAATTCCTGTGTATCTTGGCAAGTAGACTTGAAAATATTTTATACCTTCTGTAGTTATTTTCAATGGAATTTTACTTTCAATGTCATTTCATTGTGTTTTGTTAGTAATATATAGAAATGTTAATAATTTATGTTGTTAAATTTTATATCCTGAAACTTTGCTAAAGTACTAGAAGTTAAGAATATCTCGAAGGACAAGCTGTGTGAATTGATGCAGTGTTTGTTTTTTTTTTAATCTATAAGGAAAAGAAAATAGAGATAAAGATGAAAATTCGAATTTCAAAGTAAAAAAAAAAAATTTTTTTTGCATTAGTTAATGTGCCTGGTCTTCATGTAAATTGTTTCAATTAATTTTTAATCGAACACTTAAGATTCTTTACGTAAAATATCCTAACGTGAAAAATACTATATCAAAAGGGATGTATGGGATGTTCGGGGAAGACTAGTACCTGTGGTGTGAGGGCTTGCCAAGCCCTTATCAGGGCTGCTCATACTCCTTTGGTGTTCACCTTTCACTCCACTCTCACCTGTGGCTCCAAGAAGCTGTACCATGCACAGCAGCCACACCCTGATAAAAACCATCTTGGCAGATGGTTAAGGGTAGCCAAAAGGTCTCAAACTCATTGGTGAGTTAGGCCGGTGTCTACCCCAAGCATGTGAAAATGTCTCCCTGGTGGAATGGGTAGACAAAAACAATTTGTTCTAATGGCCACGAAAGTGGCTAAAGCAGGGATTCCAGAGCACTTAGAGCTTGGTCAGATTTCAAAAACACCAAGGTCATCCACCGCATGCCAGGCCATCACCAGTTGTCCAGACTTTTGAATAGTCACTGGACTTTGATCACTCAGATGACTTTGTGCAACTCTGTCTCACTTAAATCCAATTAACACACAAGTCAAAACATCACTTTGTGATGTCACTGGTCCTCTTTGAAAACAAAGGATAAACAATAACTATATCAAATGATAGCTGTAATAAGAATTGTTTTGTCCCACACTACTCCCCCCCCCACTCACTCACTCACTCACTCTCTCTCTCACACTCTCTCTTATTTGGAAGGCCTATATTTTATCTGTATTGCATGGCTTTTGATATATAGTATAAATTAATCCTACGAAGGAAAAGTCCAATTTATTCCTATGCTTTCTAGTGTTTCTAAAAGAAACGAATGTTGAATTTTTGCCAGGAGGGAGGGATTTGCCTAGGTCTGAAAGACGAAGCAGCCTGAAGCCTCCAACTACTATGACTTTTACTGTCTACTTCTCTCTTTACTTCATTTACTTGTTATTTAAAGTATTTAGACACTACATCATTAGTTGCATATATGTTAAACAATAATATCAACTTATTATTTAGGGTGCCTTTAAAAGCACAATATTGTTTCCCTGTTAATCTCTTTTAATCAGGACTCTTTTTGCTATTTCCTCATCAAAGACCATAACTACTAACTCTGTTTCTTTTGTTTAAGTCCATCTGAAGCTTGATAGATTTTGCTCCAAGTCCTTTATTGTAATTTAACTTAATGCAAATCTTTCTGTTTCAAGTACACTTCTTTAAAAATGCATACTGTTAGATTTTGCTATTCTGTATTATTTTTCTCTTCAAATCAAGACTATTGTACTACCTAGTTCACAGGATTTTAGAAAAAAACATTATAAAAGCTATGAAATGCTAAGATGACTGAGTTATTTTTATTGTTGTTGCTGTTCATAGGCGGAAGAGATTCCTTCCGGCAGATAGGGCAGGTACCAGGAAGAGTTGAGACTTTAAAAATGGGTTAGATTTCAAAAGAGGAGAAAGGAATGAAGATATAGTCTAATGAAAGCAAAGGCAAAGATGCGGGAAAATATAGGGCATATTCCAGAAATGGTGGTAGTCTAGTTTGGTGAAAACATACCATTAATTTGGTACCTACTTTACAGTGACTTACACTATACTTCCAGTTTCCTATATCTCCTCATTTATATACTACAAGCTCCTTTGGGGACAGAGACTGTCTCACAATGTTCTTTCTGTGCCGGCAGGCAATCACATTCATTGATGTTAATAGTAGGAATTCAGTTATGCAACTCAGCAGCTGCCAAATTACTGGGGTTCAAGTTAAAATCTCATCTCTGAATATGAATCAAATAAACTAAGTCATATAATCTCTGAACGAGTTTTTTTATGGTAGCAATTATCCCTGCCCTCTCAGCATCATAGACGGACAGCAGTGAGTGTGTCAACTTCAAGTTCTTTGAAAAATGGCAATTATATATTTACCTTCTAGAGTTGTTATGATTATATTATCGTAATTTAGGGATAGAGACAATGGATATTATACTATCTGAAATACAGCTGAGAGCCAAGAAGGAAACAAAAAAAGCTGCTAGGTAGCCTAATTAGCTCACAAAATCCATATATTAAAGCTTGCTTTACTTAGGAAAACACTTCAAACTCTTACTTGGAACTTGATGACTCTTTCTTTAGATATGGCATTTGCTAGCTAACACTTGATATTTGTGGATGACTTGTGTTAACTGCATCAAATTCCAAAGTATTACATAGCTTACTAATTAAGATCAATAACCAGTCAAAAAAGGTTTGGCTTATTTACACAGGAAAAAGCCAAGAGTATAAAGAATGCTCAGTGTTCAGACTATGATATGGAAATGGATGGATAACCCATGGAGGAGGTCCATCAGTATCTAAGTCCTGTACTCAAACAGATTTATTTCAATGACATGGGTATTCTATACAAAGATGCTGATTGCAACCTTAATTCGCCTATCTTGTGAGATCTTTAGCAGTGACATCCTGTTTGTAACAGAAAGTCCAAAGTCCACTCAAAATGCTGGAAAGCCTTTCTCACTTTCTCTTGACATCACAAGGATACCAATGGAATATATGACCTGTATATGGATTATCCTCTTACAACACAGCCAGTCCATCTTTTTTTCATTCATTCATCTATTTCATTGCAATATGCTGCAGCCTATATACACCCACTATGTATTTCTCCTTTGCCCACTGAGTGATCCTCAACTTCAATTCCTCTGAAACTGTTACATCCCATTATCCACAGTAAAACAATAAAAATGGAAGAATATTGGAAGAAAGGAAAGAAAGAGGCATTTATTAAGTGTCTACTATGTGACAGCCACTGTGAGAGTTTTATAAATATTACCTTATTTAATCTTCACAACAACCCTTGGAGATGGTTGTGTATTATTATCCTTATTCTACAGATGAGGAAATTGAGGCAAATAGTGGGTAAGTTACTTGCCCAGGGTCACACAGCCAGTAAGTAGTGTTTAAAAAAAAAACCAGGTCTTTGTTTCAGGAAAAACCTTAAGGTCTTTAGAATAACTGCAGTCTCTGTTTTTCTCCCTGTCTCTCTCTCTCCCTGCCTCCCTCCATATCATTCAGTCCTATTCTATCCTCCTCTCCCCCAAACACACAAACCAGGAA